GGAGGCCTCGCAGCTCCACTGATCCTGGGTTTGGGAGGCCTTGTGGCTCTGCTGATCACAGGCCCGGAGGCCTTGCAGGTTTGCTGATCCTAGTGCTGGGAGGCCTCGCTGCTCAGCTGATCCCAGTGCTGGGAGGCCTCACAGCTCCGCTGATTCTGGTGCCAGGAGGCCTCGCAGCTCCGCTGATCCCAGGTTCGGGAGGCCTCGTGGCTCTGCTGATCCTGGGTTCGGGAGGTCTTGTGGCTCTGCTGATCACAGGCCGGGAGGCCTCGCGGCTCCGCTGATCCCAGTGCTGGGAGGCCTCGCGGATCCGCTGATCCTGGTTCCGGGAGGCCTCGTGGCTCCGCTGATCCTGAGGCTGATCCCGGTGCTGGGAGGCATATTACCTTTTTACTATATAAGATAGAGGCCTGGTGCACGGGTGGGGGCCAGCTGGTTTGCCCTGAAGGGTGTCCTGGATCAGGGTGGGGGTCCCGCTTGGGTGCCTGGCCAGCCTGGATGAGGGGATGATGGCTGTTTTCAGCTGGTCGCATCCCCTTCAGGGTGGGGGTCCCCACTGGGGTGCCTGACCAGTCTGGGTGAGGGGCTGAGGGCTGTTTTTAGGCTGGCGGGTGACTGAAGCTCCCAACTGCTCCTTTTTTCCTTTCTTTTTTAATTCTGGGACTTATTTACGTTCTATGGCTGTCACTGGAGCTGAGAGCCAGCTTTAGCTCAGACCTCGGCTGCTGAAAGCAGGTTTCTGGACTTTGTTTACCTTCTGTATTTGAAACTTTGTTGCGACTCCAGCTCTGAGATCCCAGCTGACTGAAAGCAGGTTTCTGGGGTTTTGTTTAGCTTCTATATTTGTAACAATGTTTCTTAGAGAGCAAGTTACGGCTAATTACCATGTTTCTCTTTTATTAGATAGGAGTAGAGGCCGGTGCATGAAATTTGTGTGGGGGAGGGAGGGTTGTTCCCCAGCTCAGCCTGCACCCTCTCCAATCTGGGACCCCTTTGGGGATTTCTGACTGCTGGTTTAGGTCCAATCCCTGTGGGATCGGGCTTAAACTGGCAGTCGGACAGCACTATTACAATCTGGGATCGCTGGCTCCCAACCACTCACCTGCCTGCCTGCCTGATTGCTCCTAACAGCTCCTGCCTGCCAGCCTGATCACTCCCTAACCACCCCCCTGCCAGCCTGATCAATGCCTAACTGCTCCCCTGCCGGCCCAGTACCCCCCAATTGCCCTCCCCTGCTGGCCTGGTCACTCTTAACTGCCCTCCCCCGCTGGCCTGATTGCCCACAACTGCCCTCTCCTGCCAGCCATCGTGTGGCTCTGGGTGCTGCCATCTTTGAGGGTGTGCCAGTCAATTAGCATATTCCCTCCTTATTGGCTGTGGGCACAACCATCTTTGAGGACAGGGCAGTCAATTAGCATAGTCCCTCCTTATTGGCTGTGGATGCCACCATCTTTGTGACAGTGTGAGGGTTAATTAGCATATTCCCTCTTTATTAGCTAGGATGCTATATGTAAGTAAATCAGTGTGTAATGTGAGCCCTGAGGAAAAAAGACACTGACTAAGTAGGGCTCTTGGGTTTAACTGGGCTAAAATTTTAGTAAAAGGTTAAAGACTTATATGCTCTGAAGAGAAGCCAGAGTATGGGCTCAAATTAAAAAAAAACACACAGATTATAGCAGCCATTTCTACACGGAGGCCCTCTCATGCAAACCTCTCTTCAGGGAGAAGCCTGCACTTAACTGCCTGTCTGCAACTTTTTGATCTAAGCCAGCCCTTATAAAGGAGTTCTTGAAATCCTATTTCAACCAATAGGACTGAGGTTTCCCCCATCCAGTCGGAGTTCAACAGCTTTGACCAATCAGAGTGGCTGTAGTCTGACCATTCAGGACAATGCCTTTTGGAGCAATCAAACTGCAAGGATTTGGAGTCCTCAATGCATGGGGATGGACCAACAGAGACCAGGAGCACATACTTCTGTCCATATAAGACAACTCCACTCTGGCTCTGGAGGCTCATTTTCCTTTTTCACCAAAGATTGAAGACCGCATTTCTCCGGCTAAACTGAAACACTGAAAATGTCTCATTGGCACAGAACAGAACAGACCAAAGCACAGTAGAGCAGATCAGTGCAGTAGAAAATAGATCAGCAAGGAGCAGAATGAAGCTGTCTAGCCAGAGAGGGGCCTGGCTGCATCACAACTGAGCTGTTTTCTTTTTTTTCTTTTTCTTTTTCTTTTTCTTTTCCTTTTTCTTTTTCTTTTCTTTTCTTTTTTTCAGGGGAGAGCGCGAACGCAGTCCCCCACTACCACAAATTATGCAGTTGAGTTTCCCACATTTGGGGAAATCGTAGGGGTCAGCACATCCGGAATGCAATGGATAAGCCTCGCCCTGGGAAAACCACGTTCGTGATCATGGTATCTCCCCTGCTAGGTAAGTATGAGCTGTTTTCTACTAAATAAAGTTTCCTTCTTCACCTCATCCCAAATTAGGAATTCTTATTGGTGCTAAATTGGCACCAAACATTAGTTACCAGTAACTATGTTTAATAACTGTCAAATCAGTTTTTTATTACAACTGTTTTGAAATTACCTAATTTACTGAAGATATTATTCAGTGAAAAATAAAAACGGATAAAGTGAAGGGCATTAATTGGGTCAATAACTTTACTAAGAGAGCTTTATCCTGATGTAGGGTCTATAAATCTATTCATTTGAGAAACTACTCTGGCTCTCCACCTACTCCTTTCCACCCCCCATTCTTTTTTTTCTTTTTTTTTTTTTAACATATGTCTATTCCTCAAACAGGGAAATCACAGAGAGACTTAGTCCTTTTCATAAATGATAGAAATTCATACCATACTAAAGAATGTATTTTAATAAAAAGCTTCAATTCTCAAATCATCAGCAGCTGCTATGAGTGACTAAATCTACTAAATCTTTATGGACTGCAACTATCAACTTTAGTGAAGACAAAAATGTCAAATATGGTTTGGCCAGCAAAATCCATAGTGATGAAAGGAGCCAGTAATTGATGAGAAAGTGTTATAGATTACTGTCTGAATTCTCTTTTTAACCATTAGGAATAAAGAAGCTAGAAAGAATGCTTTATAGGAAAAAAAGAAGTAGAGAAATAGCATGACACTGGTGTGGGGGGGGGGCACGGAAAAAGAGAGAATAAATAATCATACAAGTATGCGGCAATATGGAAAACTTCCAACACAACACAATTATGATTCAAAATACAAAACATACAGAGACCTCTGGTCAAGTTGGTAGTATAAGTAAGTACAGTACTTTTAACCTCCCACAACCACATAAAAATTTCACCTAAACTGCAGAACAACCATCATTCAGAACCGCCTAAAGTCTATCTGAATAGAATTCCTATAACTAAGGAAATAAGAAATAAGCCACATCTAGACTGGTAGGAGGGGTGAAGATGAGGAAGGGGCCGGTCCCATTCTGAAGTTCAGTGCTGGAGCAGCAGCTTGAACGGCACCAAGGGACATATGGGGAGGAAATGAATTGTCTGGCTTCACGATGAGGGCTGGGGAGGCAGTTTCTCTAAGACAAAAGTACTGGTAAAGACCATTGTTCATTTGCTGAGCTCTGCCCCCACAGAGCTAGTAGGGTGAGCACTATATATGATTCTCCATCAACCTGGCTAACACTATTTGTCCTGCCCTGGCAATTTCCTGAGATTCTGCCCCACCCAATTTGCAGGCCCACCCAAACCATCCCCAGTGACTTTTTCATACAAATGGCCTCTCTTGGCTCATGTTTGGGACTTTCCTAAAATATCTTTAAAAAGCAGCATCTGGTCTCTACATACCCCATACCTCTTGCTAAGTGGCCCCAGGCCTGTCACTAACAGTAGACAGCCCTGGTTCGCAGCTTGACCTCTCCCAGGCACCTTCAAGTCCAACACAGTAGCAGCCATCTGCAGATTACTCTGTAGTTCATGCCGGGTGGCTCTGGGCAGGGTATAGGCAGTGGCTGACCTTGGCTCAAGTGTCCATTTGGTGGACAGCTTGAGGCCATACTGAATACAGTCTGATTATCTCTATGAGCTACATACATACTTGGTGAGCTCCAAAGCCCCACTGGAAGCCTGCTCTGTGGTGTTGATATCTGCACAGCAGCTCCTCTGCTATAGTTACAGCTGGTCCTTACAGGCCATTGGCCTGCAAGGATGTTCCAAAAGCAATCAAGGCTCAACTACAACAGGAGGGTGCACAGAGCTCACATGTGGGGGAAGGGGGCACCTGGAAAGCCTGGCTCAGGTGACTGGGAAGACTGTGCTGCTAAGGCTTAGCAGCTAAGCCCTATAGGACACCTACTACATAAGGCCACTCGACCAATACTGAGATGTAGTAGCTCTATCTAATACATAGAAGCAAACATAGGGAAGCAGCCAAAATGAGGACACAAAGAACCATGTCCCAAATGAAAGAGAACAGAACTCCAGAAGAAGAACTAAATGAAATGGAGGCAAGCAAATGACCAGATATAGTGTTCAAAACAATGGTTATAAGGATGCTCAAAGAACTTAGTGAGAACTTCAACAGCATAAAAAAAAGGATATGGGAACCATACCAAAAAAAGCACACAAATAGAAATGAAGAATACATTAACTGAAATAAAGACTACATTACAGGGGATCAACAGCAGAGTAGATAAAGCAGAGAATCAAATCAGCAATTTGGAAGTAAGAAAGCAGAAAACACCCAATCAGAACAGCAAAATGAAAAGAGAATTTTAAAAAGAATGAGAATAGTGTAAGGAGCCTCTGGGACAACTTAAAGCATACCAACATTCAAATCATGTTGATGCTGGAAGAAGAGAGAGAGCTAGAAATTGAAAACGCATTTGAAGAAATGATGGAAAACATCACAAACATGGTGAAAGAAATAGACATACAAGTCCAGGAAGTGCAGAGAGCCCCAAACAAGATAAGCCCAAAGAGGCCAACCCCAACACATGCTAATTAAAATGCCAAAGGTTAAAGACAAAGAGATATTCTTAAAAGCACCAAGAGAAATGCAGTTAGTTACCTGTAAGGGAGTGCCCATATAACTGTCATCTGATTTCTCAACAGAAACTTCTCAGGCCAGAAGGAACTGGCATAAAATACTCAAAATGATTAAAAACAGGAACCTATAACCAAGATTACTATACCCAGCCAAGCTACATTTACAATAGAAAGACAACTAAAGAGCTTCCCAGACAAGAAAAAGTAAAGGACTTCATCACCACCAAACCAGTATTACAAGAAATCTTAAAGGCTCTTCTTTAAGAAAAAGAAGAAAAAGAGATCAAAATTATGAGTATTAAAATGAATAAATACATATTTATCAAAAATTGCTTTAAATGCAAATGGATTAAATGCATCCATTAAAAGATATACAGTTACAGAATGGATAACATAACAAGACCCTTACATATGCTGTCTACAAGAGACTCCAGACCAAAAGACAAACACAAATTGAAAGGGATGGAAAAAGATATTTCATGAAAATGGAGACAAACAAACAAAAAAGCTGGGGTACCAAAATTTATACTAGACAAAACAGACCTTAAAACAAAGACAACAAAGTAACCAGTAACTCCACTCGGAATATTTATCTGAAGACCCCAAAACATTAAACTGAAAGACATATATATCCCTATCTTTACTGTAGTACTATTTACAATGGCCAAGATATGAAAGCAACTTGGGTGCCCATCAACAGATGAATGAAGAAGTGGCATATGTGTACAATGGAATATGATTTAACCATAAAAAAAGAATGAAATCTTGCCATCTGCAACAACATAGATGGAATCTAGAGGTTATTATACTAAGTGAAATAAGTCAGACAAAAACAAAAGCCAGATGATTTCACTTACATGTGGACTGTAAAGAACAAAATAAATGAACAAGCAGAACAGAAACAGACTCATAGATATAGAGGAAATTTTGATGGTTGTCAGATAGGAGGGGAGTTCAGATTGGTGAAAAAGGTGAAGGGATTTAGAAGTAAAAATTGGTAGTTACAGAACAGTAACAGGGATGTAAAGTACAGCAAAAAGAAATCCTATATAATAAAAGAGTAATATGCAAATTAACCATCACTCCATCACAAAGATGGTGGTGGCCATGGAGCTGGAGTGAGCAGGAGGCTTGAGTTGCCCTGGCGATGGAGGAAGCCAAGCTTACTGCCTACCCTGAGTTCTGCTTAAGGCTACAAAGTTTTAATTATAGAAGATAAATAAATCCCAGATACCTGCTTCCAGCCAGCATGGCCTCCACTCAAGGAGGGGCTGGGAACCTGGGGTGCCAGGGGCCACCCAGCTTCAAGCAGGACCAAGGCAACAAAGTTTCAATTATAGAAGTTAAATAAATCCCAGATACCTGCCTACAGCCTGCAGGCA